AGGTTGCGAAGCAATAATCTTCGAAAACCATTTCAAAGAAGTGGGTAAACTGCAGCATCCCGGCACCTCCTAATTCAACTCAGAAACCACACAATACCAAACTTTTGGGCATGCATGTATGGCTGCAACTACCTTACGCAAAAAGACAAGTTAATTTTACTCCAAAGCCAAGGAAAAGGATGCCAGCAGACTCCGGCACATTTGATGTAGACTGCCCATTTCCTGACGACAGCAGCACAGAGGAGTTCGAAGCAAATTTGTCGACTTACTATCACAACGATTCGCCACCGAGATTCCACCATGCACATCGTATGGTTCACATATCGCAGGAAAACAATCAGAACAAAAATCCAGAATTGAAGTGTTATCTGAACGTCCAACACATAGACGTGACTACAACATTGCACATCAGAGCCAACAAATCATTGAATGCCTTTCGTCTGCGCAATCCCATTATAGTCACGGGGTGACGCCGCGAAACACCTAAAAACCATGCAGTTGTTCATGCCATGCCGAATACAAATCATCTATAGTTTCATAAATTGGAACCTTCGAAAGATAAGATGTAGTAATTTGCGAACCATGCTGGAAGGAAGCAGCATCTGGTTATCGCACGGGGCATTAATCATAGGTTCGATACTCCAGAGACAAGACAACAAAAGCGATAGTGATTTTAACTAAGGAGCCTTGCAAAAAATGACGGTGGTTTTTCAAATAATGGTGGCTGAAGAGGAAATAAGGGGATTTTCTTGATTTGAAACAACAGTCATGGAAACACTGCTTTTCATTCCAAACAGTAGTCAATGTTGCAAAAATGACAAAACACTTCCTTTAAAAATTCTCCATTCATTTTCTTCGGTTTCTTTCCTTTTCGTGCATATAACTCCAACAAACTGAAGAGCTAGAGTCGTCTTTTTACAAAAAGTGAAATTGTCAACAATATTAACATGATTCAACTAGTTTCAACGCGTTTGAGGCCACCCTTATATCCTAAGTCATTTGAATTTGGGACTTTCGCGCGTTGATTGCATACATTTTCTCTTTGGGAAACCACGAGCGGAAAACGGGGGAAACGCGAAGAAAAACAAAGAGATTTATGGGATTGCGAGAGTGATTATGTGAAATACATGGTAGTGATCTCAAACTTTAAAATCAAGCACTGAGAATGAGACCGAAAGTAGAATCATCTCTCTTATATTTAAATAAACGACTCCCAAAGAAAAGCCATTTTCGTTTTTTTTTTA